GAAGGAGATTACGAAACGCTCGGGTGCAGTCTGTGCTACTCAACTTCCAGGATGGGGACCGCTTGATCCCCACTGCGCCTTGTTGGTAACACTGAAAGATATGGCTGCTAACCGATATCACTGGCGTTCTTGTTGTCAGTTTCTATACAAATTGCCTAAGTGAATGTCTGGAGATGTAGCAACCTCGAAACAACTGTAGTAAGCTGGTACTAAGTCCCTTTTCCGAGCACCTTTATTCTTTTCTTTACAATTAGGTTTTCAAATAAATTATGGTTGTACGACAGTGAAGCATCGGTGTTGAACACTGATGTCATGATGTCGATAATGGTGATGATGTTGAGTAACTAGAAAGGGTCCGATTTAGGAGCGTTTTTGTTGTTCGTTTGATTGGTTCGCTTTTTGAGATACTGTAGAGTATGTATTCCAAAATGAGCATCACTGAAAATACAGCTCGGGAATGGGTATTTGGGATTATCGGGTAATACATGACCCCATGATTTGCTCCAAGGATTTTGTCCTTCTATTCGGCTACTAGCTACTAGGACTTTCTGCACTTATATCTCGATGTTCAGGATCCTTGGGTGGGATAGGTAAACCGTTGTACCTATTGTACCATTGTACCACATAGGCCTAAAAACGTAATTTCGGCAACAGGATATCTACACTGTCTGTCGACCGACTGATCAATCGTCTGGGGCGTGACTTGTCCCCACAGGATGTACTTCTGCCTCACGCTTGGTAAGCACTCTGTGGGCTACGGTGGTACACCGAGTGACGCAGACGTACGTACTGTCTATCAGCGTATGTATGTCCCTATCAAGATTACGAATTGTCACCTGTCATTTGTGGGTTCTGTCGAGATGTGGATTGAGATTACGTGTAGTAGATCCTAAATGGTTATCCTACTGATTTTTCGTAATCCTACTACTGTAATCTAAACGCTCATTACGGTTCTCAGTGCACAGTTTTGCAGTAATGTTCCTTCACTGGCTAACTGATCTACATACTCCAAACGAGTTTTGGGCTTATCACCTTTTATTGTTGAAATTTCCACATAGAAAGATGCAGTATGACTATTTGCATCTAGTTGACGGTCCTACTACTGGTAACAACAAAATGGACTTGGCTTGTGCAGGCTTGTCGACACTGTATCCATGACACTTCCACTCCGACAGCATTGCGGTCAAACGTGACCACAAAACAAATAAAGATGAAGCTTCAGAATGAAAGTTTTGGCTGTACATGGGATGTGTCCGGAGTTTTCGCAAATGTTCAGAGTCCTCGTCTGATTTTCAAAGGTTCCCAGAAGGTGCAGGTAGATACCTATGCCTAATGGGGAACAATACGCTAGATCTAATACGTCTTCGTGTGCAACCAGCATTCTATAGAACCAGTATAGGCTAATTTGGGACTTTCCCCGTAAAATCCGGTCACTTTTGTGTGAGTCTATCCCAGCCACATTCATCTCTATGAATCGTGTGAAATTTTCACCATTCTTTGGTACCGAAGAATAAAACAAACTGTCGAAAACGGTTACGTGTGCAGTTACAATGCTATATTTATGGGCTGTGAGAATCAAAGTGTACTTGATTAGGTTACAAAAAACGGTACAAAGGACACTAATGAAGAATCCTTGTGACTTACGTGCAGCGTCGAATTTCTAATTGTAAACTTGCCCTTCAGACATTACAAAAATAAACGGTGTTTTCGTAGCTGATTTCTTGAAAGCGACTTTGAAATTACTATTTAGAGTAAACCCAGGTTTACGATGTTTCGTTTTGCTTCTGTTTATTTTGACAAACAGTCTCTTCTCAATACGAAACAGTGTGCATTGGAACCCACAAATTTCAAGCAGCCAGCCATAGATCCCCGTTTAATTGAATGACTAGGAGGCCAAATGCACTCTTCAAAAGTTTACGACACATTTTATCCACATCTGAATAGGTTGTCTGACGACCAGCCTGAGAAAGGACTGTTTCTAACGCGGCCCAATAGAAACACACAAAGAGTTTTCATGGCCCTCAAAATTACAATCACTTGGCTGTGAATCTAACGAGGATAACCGCAAACTGAAGACTGCGATTCTACCTGTTTCTTATTGAGCCCGTTTATCGGTCTGACGGTTCAACAAAAACCTAGACATAGGCATTAGTTGTAAGGATATTCCAGAGATTTTGATATTTTGTTCATAGCCACACCACTCTCGTTTGAACCGCTGTGTCCCTGTTCTGGCGTAATTATTCCGGTGTGTCCACACCAAAGGACTGGACTCGAGTTTCACTCTTATCAGAGCTCATCAGCAGTGCATATCCAATGGCCGTGCTCGGATTTGAACCCCGGACATCTGACATGCGAGGCTAGCCTGCAACCACTACTCCTTGATATCGTTACCGTCTCTTCTAACTTTCGTCTGATATGTATCTATCACATCACCTAAGACTTTCGTCGTGATGAGTCGAAAATATGTCAGATTTTGGCCAGAGCATTCGGTTCATGACTATTTTTAACGAAGGTCGCACACGTTATCTAGTTATGACGCGTTGAAAAAATTAAAACTTGGCACTTAGTCCGAGGTACGCTGTGACTGAAACTTACCAATTTTGTCGGTGCACCGCCGCAACCTAAAAGTAATACGCGAAGAAGCTCTCTTATACACGGTACAAACATGCCATGAAGAAATTCTAGCTCAAATTTTGGGGTTTCTGGTGTATCGATGTTGAGATGCCATCTGTCATGAATAACGATCATAAAATTGTGTAAACCTGGCACATTTTTATGAATACGTAATATGCCCCTGAGTTGTACACCAAATAAAAGGAAAACTGACAGCTTTGACCACAAGTTGACGGCATCTTTTGGGGTGCTTGGACTTGAACCACACTTTTTTGCCTTGTTCTAGTTGCATAGGTGAACTTAATGTCACATGCTTTCGAAATCAACTGGATTTATTGATATGTCCAGAAGGTCAAATTAGTCAGATTGAATTGCATAGTGTAGTACTTCCTTTGGGTTTCTCCTACTGATGTTCTTCTCTAAGCGGGAACGAAATGAGAAGTGTAAACTTTTACGAGACAATTAGAGTGGTTTTTTGATTGTTAAATGTTTGTTCCGCTTGAATTGAGGCGCCACTATCATTACAAGGATCGGTTCAATCGGTTCCGCATAACCTAGATCACCGAAACGCGTGATTGTTGGCTCTTCTGGTTTTCTTTCTGGTTCAGTCTGCTCTACTGTTAAGTAAAAATCCATTGGATGATACGTCTTGATAAAATATCCCTAGTTTGCTTGGCAAGCTGCCCTAGAAAGAAAGACTATTTTAACCGATAAACGAGTAGGTGAATCGTGTCCAGACAGACAGAACTTTTTGATGGAATAGTCAAATGGAGCCTGCAGGTCTTCATTGGGATTCTAAGGCATACAAATCTGTCTACCGTGAAGAACTACCCGGAGGATGTGACCAAGATCAGTCTCTTCTGTGGATGTTAGTAGTGGTTTGAAAACACTCTAAATAGCCAACTGAATGTGAACTGATTGTAAAAAATATATATGTATCGCGATATCTCGAATATCGTGGCGACTGAAACATGAGGCTGCCTGGTGCAGCACATTCAGTTGTGTGGAAACATCAAAACCGAGAGATTCAGCTGGGTTCCAGATGAGTCTCTCGAAAAACCGAATTAGTTTGCAAATGAGTGCATTTCACAGGTTTAGTTTTCTCTTAGCATTAAGTATTCGCTCGACAATTCCGCCAAAATGTGTCGCGTGAGCCACCCTTATGAGTTTTGTACTAATTCCTTTACTAAACATGCTTGGACGCAGTAATAGGAATGGCTGTGTCTGGTTATCAGATGCATTCACGTGACTTTTGCTTTAGTCATGTATAAATACGAACAAACGCATGGTGAGTTAGCATCCGTGGGTTTAGTTTTCTCTTAGCACTAAGTATTTGCTCGACAATTCCGCCAAAATGTGTCGCGTGAGCCACCCTTGTGAGTTTTGTACTAATTCCTTTACTAAACATGCTTGGACGCAGTAATAGGAATGGCTGTGTCTGGTTATCAGATGCATTCACGTGACTTTTGCTTTAGTCATGTATAAATACGAACAAACGCATGGTGAGTTAGCATCCGTGTCCAGCTTCACTGCTCCGGCATATGGAACCCGAGAAATTTAGATGATGTTACCTGTGCAAGCAGCTGGATGCAATTTTCACCGAGGTTGTGAGACCGGAGAGTGACGGTTTTAAAGCCTGTGAGGACTCAAAGTGATTTGGATGGGTACAGCACTTATCAAACCCAGACATAGGCACACCTGTGAATAGCCGGTAAGGGCTAAAAATCAGTTTAATCTATGCACGACCTCAGAAGTTCACTTTTGACCTCCTTGCAGGCCTAACTCCCCGTGATAGCTTGGGGGTCATGGAGAGCTGTTTAGAGCCGAAAGCTGTTTCGAGTGGAAACCTTTACTTAAACATGCAAATCATTTTTTGCACCGACCGGCAATAATAAACGATGATTGATCACTTGCTTTAAGCACAGCTTATGTGACCGATGACCAGATCTGTCGCTTAAAAGAACTACGTCTAGTTTTTTCCCGAGGATACTACTCATAAGGGTGCCGGAATCTCCTTAACATACTGTGTTATTTCAAATAGTTTACCAGTTAAAAGGCCAGGCAGCTTTTTTAACACTCGCAGTTGAAGAACATCACAAAGGAGAGACTCAGCTGGATCTGCTTGAGTTCGCTATTGAAGCTGAATCGATGTGGGAATGAGCGAACTTCGCGAATTAGGGCTTACTTTCTCCCATAAGAGTACCGAATGTTTAAAAAATCACTTAGTATTTACTGAAGTCATCTTCCTCGGAGGACAAAACTAATCGATTAAATTATCAAAATGAATCCGTCACTTTTTTAGAATCCGTGACTGAAAACATTGAATTACCCGTATTTTGCATATGTTCCAGCAAACGCATCCTATCATACGTTCTCTACATTTTCAGAAACTTTCGAACGTCATGCTGACCTCTAACCCTGCAGAAGAAGAAAATTCCGGCACCTATCCTTTCCGAATCAATGAAGGTCGTGCAATAATTGACTGCTGTCGGAACAACCCACTGTCCAAACAAACCGAATACCTAAACGATTTCCCACCATGTTGGCCCGGCACTTTTCCCGATCATCCGACCGTCGACGTTTTAGTCAACACCTACCAAGATCCAAGCCTCCCCTTAGCATCCCGTTCAGAATGCGAGACCCGGCACATGCGTGAACCGGAACTCGTTTCGTTGGTATCATCCAGCGCGTCCATGTCCAGCCTGCGTGCTTCTTCCACTCAACTTTCGTTTAACATGTCAGAAATCGCTGAGCAACTTCTTGCCTCCTATCCTCCCCAGAACCCAACAACGAACAAAGATCCGGTAAAATTTGACCTAATGCTATGTGATACAAAATCGGATACAGAGCATAACTGTGACGTCATGTTTTCCGAACCGACCAAAGTTGAGAGATCAGAGTCCAAACAAATACACGGGGAACAAAACGTGACACAAATTGAGCTGAACACGAAAAACAATCCGATTAAACAGACAGATGAATTCGTTGATTGGAACAACTGGAGTCAGTTCGGTTCCGTTGATGCAATATGGCGACCTCAAGAATCAACTCAAAACGGACTACAGTCTTCTGACAAACTACTGGGTAAAAGTGCGCCTCAGTTTGACTCTCAGTTGACATATTCCTCGAATAAATTTTCTGAGCCTCTCCAATGTCCCAATCCTCCCAAACATGTACAGGCCTACCTGTCCCAAACCCTGCCTCAAACTGTTTCAATCCCCACGTCCTCCAGCTCGGAATCACACATCACCCTAACAAGCCCTGTTTATACCACTCCACAACTCATCCCCCAGTCGAAGAACTCACCATTTTTAGACTCGAAATTGGAGCATTTGGATACGTGGAAAAGAACGACCGCAGAATGTTATGCTCCGGTGCCTCAACCAAACTACATATACCCTATGGTCAGTTCAGATCTGGGTTGTACTGGTCGCACGTTCGCCAGGCTCGATAACGATGCAAATATTCGTCATGTACACAACACTTCTCAGAAAGCCGGTTCGACTGGTCTTTTCACTAGAGGTCGTCGACGAGTATTCACTGAATTGGTTTCACCATTCGAGAATGAAGACGGACACAAGGAGTTTCCAGTTGTAAAACGAGACGAGATCAATTTCATGACTCATTCGGAACAACCTCTAGTTTATACCAGTCATGGGCTGCTCAATGTAATATCTCAAAATACACTTGGTAGCAAAACCTACGAATCGATGCATCCTGTACGGTCATTTACACAAAAAGAGTTCGGTGGGAACCGAACAAATCAATTGAGCCCAGTCACACGTGAGCGGACGCGCAAAAATTCACCCAAGAAGCCCATTGTTCCCAATTCCTGTATGCCAAGTGGCAGCAATATGAACAACGTCAACAGCCTGAACACTGTGGTGCATAGATGCACTTACAACGGTTGTCAGAAGAGTTATTCGAAAAGTTCTCATCTCAAAGCTCATATTCGTACACATACCGGAGAAAAACCGTATGCATGCACCTGGACGGAATGTCATTGGCGCTTTGCCCGTTCGGATGAACTAACACGACACATTCGAAAACACACTGGGGTGCGTCCCTTCCATTGCCAGATGTGTGGCCGTGCATTCGCTCGAAGTGATCACCTGGCCTTACATGCCAAAAAACACGGTGTAAATGATACGCGGTTCTCCCATTCCGCCCCGCACATTGCGGAGTGATTACAAAAACCTACAGAAAGAGGGATCACGTTCCCCGGTTAACCTGTCACCCACGGTGTGCTCCTGCCTGCCACCAAGAGAACCAGTTCTTGAAAATACCGTTGTGAGTCTTCTAAGCTCGCTTATTTGTGTAATTTATTGGAAGAACTAGATAGTGTTCTGCTTTGTCGCTCTCTGGTTGAAGTTGAAGGCAACGGAGAAATCCTGCTTGGCCGTTGTAATTTTCTATCGTTTTCCTTCGCTCGCATTTGTCTGATTCAAACTCATGAGAATCATTGATTTTGTTATCTTAATTCCTTACTGTATGTATGATAGAGCCACTATCACGACAACCATAATTTTTCACCAGGTTTTCTCTAGAAATCAGACTGTTCGTTTCCCATGTGATTTACTCTCGTTGGAGAATTTGGTGACGCTACAAACAACAGATACAACGAAGACAACAAAAAAACAAGAAACAGTTATTTTCTTCAATGTTTCTGTCTTTCTTTTCTATTTTCAAAGATCAGAATACACATTCAAGTATTACTTTGTGATCATCTTCGTGAGAGAAATTCACATTTCTATGACTTATCAGGATATGCCTAAACTACATTCACAGAATGGGCTCGAAGTGCACGTTGTATGATGTAGAAATATAATGTGATGATATGTAGTGAGCCGTCCACAGAAGTTGCATCCCCAAGGCCAACTAAAATTATTTCTCACCCTTCGAATAAAGGCAAACAGAGTAAGTTACTCATGGTTGTTTGCATTACTACTTGAGCATAACTGAAATATTTCTGTCCCGTTCAATTGCTTCATGGGATTAAGTTGAACAAGTTGATATAGATGCAAGTACTCTGACTCAAAGGTGACCACGGCTGCTGTCGCCAACTGGGTAAGTTCAATACACACAAAGTTATCACCTTCAGTCCAAACTGTTGAGTGTTGTAGAGGGGGGGGGGCAAACTGGTCGATAAAATTCGTCAACAAAACCGTTTTACACTTTGGAGAACTACTCAAATCATTGACCTGACTGTCTATAGCACGACCAGCGCTCTTCCATCGGATCCAGTCATAGATAGTGCATTCTGTTGTGATGTGGCTCATCAAACGACTTGGAGGATGAAATGGGCTATGAGTCACTGGCAACAGACCCGGTGTCATACATGTCATCTTGTTTGTGAAGCATTCGCTAACAATGGAACAGAGGAAAGCGGATGGGCAGCTTAGTATTCAAGTTGATAGGAGCAGCAGACAACTAACGAAGGGTGTCCTCGAGTGCGCTGCATTGATCAATGGTTATTGGTCATTGCGCTCCAATAGTCAGCTTTGGATCTCTCTTGTCCACTTAGGGCAAGTTGATTTGGTCTGCGATTCGCCTCAGCTGAGTGGGCGTGCGATATCACAAGAATCCAGTCATAGATAGTGCATTTTGTTGTGATGTGGCTCATCAAACGACTTGGAGGATGAAATGGGCTATGAGTCACTGGCAACAGACCCGGTGTCATACATGTCATCTTGTTTGTGAAGCATTCGCTAACAATGGAACAGAGGAAAGCGGATGGGCAGCTTAGTATTCAAGTTGATAGGAGCAGCAGACAACTAACGAAGGGTGTCCTCGAGTGCGCTGCATTGATCAATGGTTATTGGTCATTGCGCTCCAATAGTCAGCTTTGGATCTCTCTTGTCCACTTAGGGCAAGTTGATTTGGTCTGCGATTCGCTTCAGCTGAGTGGGCGTGCGATATCACAACGATGATTGACCGCCTGATGTGTCGAAGCACAAATTTCTCTAGCAAGCCACTTTCCACTGGGGCCATTTGAGCAAAAGCGCAGTTTTGCACCTAGTGTTTGCATCTAGCGGCACCGATTCTGAGAACTTTGTTGGCTGACATCTGATTGGGTTTCATTTGTATTTCATCTAAACTAAGCTGCCATATTTTGTGAGATAGCAGAAATAACAGGTATTTAATCTGAGGTTTACTATTCCGTACTCTGGTAAGCACGGAATCCTGAAAACAGAAAGCGTAACAAGTTCCCCCTTTCGCGAGAAATCACAATGGCAGAAATACGGAATGGACATGTAGATGTATCATTTTTATGATGGTGTGAAGAATTTATGACAACAAAGCGCTTACGGAAAGTGGACGGTGTAATTGTTTCAGCCGAACAACCTCCAACCCTAATCCAAATAAAAATCCTGTAAGTAATCCATCCGTCTATCTGTTATTGTTTTCGCTGTACAAAAGCTTTATGCTGAGCGTACAGTATGACGATGGCTCTTCAGAGTAAAATTGACCTTGAGGATGGAGTCAATGAAGTAAAAATTCCAAGCAGCTTCCGATCACATAATATTTAGCGGATACATTAAAGTTTTTTTCCAATCAGAGAACAATTTTCATCGGGATAAGACTCGATTGTGGCAAAAATGATCGTGCAAGACAAAGTTTAGTAACCTTGAAAGGGTCTGCATACTTGGCAATGCCGACTCGTGGGTTTCAAGCATTCCTACTGCATTTCAGTGATATAACCTTTATTCTTTGGTTGTTTCAACTAGTCACTTTTCCGAGATTTCACATTTCTTATACGGTCTTGCTTCGTTGCTTTGGTAAATCCGGTTGCATCAGACGCACTATGAGATAATGTATTGTTTTTGCCGAGAGCACCAGTAGCTGGACCTTTGTCCGGTCTGGTAAAGATTATATCCTCTCTCCCTCAAGGCTTTAATATCCTTTGTTTGCGAAGTATCCCAATAAAATATTGGGCTCCAGCTGCAGAGCAACATATATTCATACGAAATAATTTCAGTAGATATTCGCTTTGCGGAGCACCAGTACAAGCTGGTTCGTACGGCTACGAATGTCTTCAAACTGAGTGTCTACTACGCGAACGGTAAAGTTTCGGACCATAGAACAATACTTAAATGTATGCCTTCCATTTTGATGGAGTTATGAATACAATCTAGCAATCAATCGGGAAGGATTTACGGGCGTTGTTATTCTCCAATGTAGTCCTTAGTTCAGCCACTTTTTTAGATGTCTGTCGACCCACCGTGTTTGTGGTGAATGCGTTCATCTCTTTGTGAAGAATGAAATGCTGCTTGACACAGTGACGGACTTTGTTAGCAATAGTTACCAGTTGATAGATGCCACTAGGTCGTGACGATCGGATGTAACATCACTTCGGTGTATTTCCTTCAACAGTAGAATTTATGAATGTCGCTTGGGATAACTTTAACCCACAGGACACATACTGAAGAACATTGCTGTTTCCGTGATTCCTTCTTTTATTCAATACAAATCGAAGGATTGCAAATCTGAAAGCGAGCAACCTATATAAGTAAAGCGAGGACTAAGGGGAATTTGTGGGTATAAATGTAACTAACTGATTGGCTAGCAGGTCACGTGAGCAAATCACGAAAAATTCATTGCGCAAAGGAATGTTCTCTGAGTTCACAGACTCGGGTTGCATGAGCCAAAAGCGATTGCCTCGTCTGTATTCAGGCATTGATACTGAACGAATCTTGGTCAGTATAGTGTGCAGAATGCGTTGATAGAATTAATGGCTTAACTCGCATCAACCACGTGACTGACCACTGCCTTAGCATTAGACATCCTCTATCCGGTTACCAACCAAAATGCGCTATGTTACTTTATTCCCTTGTGTTTGTGATGTGTCTTGCGCACTATGTGTTTCGCTATACCTTAGCAGGTGAACGAGTAGATAACCAATCATGAGCACGGACCGCCAGCCCATCTTTGAGATATAGAGTCATCAGCTGAATTGTCGTGAACCACACTTTGACTGAAGTGACTGGAAGTGCTTTCTAATGTGTGTTCTGCAGACGCGGAGTTCGATAGCATTCGGCCAGATCCCCCTTGAAGAAAGAATGAGGGAAATGGTTTTTCTTTCGGTCTTGGTGTTCATTGTTGCAGAGATTATGTTTTGAGATGAACCTGTCCGGATGGTCATATTCACGAATCATGCCAACTAGCTTGTGGATTTAGGCTTTATGTTCGCTTTCGGAGCAGGTTTTTCTTGTCAGGACACCGAACTAAATTTCGTTTATTTTCCATCGAGATACAACTATTAACGTTAGTTAAGTGCTTCATCTAGATTGGTCTCCAGTGAACCAAACGTTTGATCAAGCAACCAGCTTTTCTTAGCAGTTGTACATCCTATGACTGCAATCAGCCCTTATTTTCTTCTTTGGATGTAAACTGGATGGGTCGATAGGCCTAATTAAAATCCGATAAAAGTTTTTGCAGCTGTGATGATTTGTCTGTTATGGCGAATACATCGCCTACATGTTGCCGGCATAAGTGCGCTTTGTCTACAGTTAAGCGGAGTTGGCGTCGCTCAAGGCTTTCCAGAAAAAAATTCACCGAAGACTGGGCCTAATCTATAGCCTATTATGTCAACTCAAGCTTGCTTGTAGAGCTTTTCGTTGGAAAAAAATTCCATATCACGTGTGTGTCGCAACTGTAGTCCCTTCAGATCGTTAGTTGGAGTATTCAAACCTTTCTTCTTTCGCGTACTCAAAGAGATGATTATGTGAGTGGGGCGTCAGTGAAGGATAGATATGTCTAATGAGATCATTTGCTGCTTGCTTGCATCAGCGAATTTATACGTGTCTAGAAGGCTGTAATGACAAATCCTACGAGATATCGGTTTGAGATTTTTCTCTAGCCATTTGACCATTTAGGTATTTAGGCCAAGTTTCACAGCCCTAAGTTTTGGCTGCAATCGTATTCGTTTTGGTGTTATGCATTCATGAAGCAAGTTGGGGAATATCACCTGCGGCTTGTGAGTTGATTTTATCTCTCATATTGTGTTCAGGGCTTATGAAGGTGTCAAGATAAGTAAACCTATCAACAGACTCAAACTACTCAGGCTGAAGTTTCAAAGATGTGTGTGGGAGGGGGAATTTCTGAAATAAGACTTCTCGCTTTGAAGGCCCCACAATATCACCTTACACCGATCCGAGAAAATGCTGTCTCAACAGTCGAACTCATCTAAGACAGCCCAACTTTGGTCACAGAGAAATGTCACCTAATTGAGCTGGCCCAGTCGGTTTTCAGGATCAAAGTTCGTACAACCGTAACGTCAACAATCGCATTGAACTTGAGTTAATCACTGTTCTGAGTTTGATTTGACCGATCAATAAATGAAACATGTGCTGCAAACTGAGTAGCTCATACCCAAATGGCCCAAATATCGACACAGCACAGGAGGTTTGGGCCCACCTCTCTGTAACAAAGCCCAAAGCAGGCCATAAACTCGAAGACCGAATATACTTCAGTAGCCTCCGAGTGATGACCAACAACGATCTACTTCGCTTGCTCAAATGACCCCTTTCCCCGCCCACTTCACCATTCTATAGATGGGCCCAACTATTCCCTAAATTGGGATCATCGCATAAAGTGCAGCGCATAAGTGGGATCCCATTATAAGCACAACCACCAGGAGCCATTCAGTGTATATCGCAGCAGAACTGGTCCTCAAAGTAAATCAGTAATAGCTAAATGTCAGATGTGTTTGTTATTCGATCTACTTCATATGTTGGACACCGCCATCAATGCTGAACACACTGCCTGCACCTCAAAGCGAAAAGTCCGATAAGACCCTTGAATTGACTGACTGACCGAACTGTCTATCAAATTTTATTCACTGCCACACCTACAGCAGCGATGTTACATACGCGTAAGTATTCTAGATAATAGTGGACTATTGGTCTCGCAGAAACCACGATGGAGGCTACCCAGAAATAAACAAGTTCTGAGGATACGCATCACATTCAGGCTGCATTCACCGCATGCACTTCAAACGAAGTGAAAAGTCTTATCGTGCCCTCATGAAGAGTATTCAGAAAAATATGATTGCAGAAAGAGTATGTTATGCTTCTTGTTGGCCAGCCTTCAGTGAGATAACACTACTGTCCCAGACATATTTTGGGTGTCCTCTAAAGTACTAGTTTTTTTCGAGAATTGCGGAAATATTTTCATCCTCTCACTTTTATTGTGTTTCAGCTCCACTAGCAGCATTCCAGTTAATTTTATTTATCGCATTTGAATCGTTCATATCACTTCGATATTGACAGTTCAGTTGTTGTTGTCTAGTAAAGTATCACGTGCTTTTGACACACGGCCTATGAACGGCCATCATATTTGCAAGCGTTTAGTTAAGTGCAATGCGTTATCTTGTGACCACGGTCAGGCCACATGTGACTATCAAGTCAATGTGAGTTGTGACCTTGAGGCTTGATTCCACACTTTTAAATGTTAGTAAAGTCTGTGAAGCGAAGCTTCACTGTCCTCTCGCCAAACGGTTTTGGCACACCTCCAAAGCGAAGTTTTCAGATGCGATTTTCGATGACGACATTTTGAACAACAAAGGTCACCCTAATTTACGCTTGTACTACGATCAGTTGTTATCAAGCTACTGTGTTTTTCTTCAATAAACATTATCCCAGGCTAGCGAAATACACTCATTTCCATACTACTTTGATTTTGATGGCAGACTCACCTGAATCTCTCGTTCATGATGTTTTTAAGGACGAAACCGGTCATGGGCTCTCCAAGAGTCGTACGAAACTGGGTAGTTCTCTAAAAAAACGGCGGTACCGAGGGATTTTGAATAAACAACCCTGAGATCAAGAAACAAAGTGCACATAATAAGTAGACGAAAGCCCTGAATAATGTGAGCTAGTGGGTCCAAGAAAGTCCCGATATTGAAATGGAGGTGAGTTACTACTAGTTTCAGTAACTATTTCCGGTAATCGAAAAAGAGTCTTAGCCCTACTCAACTGCGTAGGACAAATCTTCTAGCCTTTAGTATAAGATTGTCTACATTCAATCCAATTATAATCTGCTCGCATTTCGGAGTAGATAACCCATTCTGAAAACCCATCGCCCGTATCAATATGCCCTTTTTCATTCCTCTCTCAGTGCTGTTCACCAAAAGTCAATTATCTAAATGCTCCGCTGTGTATGTCAGCCAACGTACACCGATTTCCGATAAAACATCTGATTTAGGGGATCTTGAATGTTTCACTAAACTAGACCACCAAAATTCCGCAGAAGGAGTGAATTATAGACAGTAAATAATGTTAACGCTATTCACATGTTTGTCAGCATGAAGTTAATATCCTCTTGAAAGGAGGACAGAATTTCCTGAGGGCAAGAAAACATTGCCGACAGTTTCTTGTGATGAAACGAAATTGAGTTCACAAATAACGGTCAGACACCCATGTGCGCTATCTAATTGGTGGTCGATCTAAGGCACAGAACTGGTTTCAAACTATGCCGTCATCGCTGAAACTAAGGGATCTCAACCGTTAACAGCACTGAAATAAGTTTTCAGTGTAGTCCCATTTAGTCATAGTTGAGTTTCTGGCAACCAACTTTTGCTTGGTTGTTGGTCTGTTCGCCGAGCTTGACAGTTGGATTGCAAACGTTTCATCACCAATCGAGGTGACGCAAACGTTTATCACCAATCGAGGTGACATCGTAAGTGCAGGGTTGAGTGGGTAGGTAGGTTGAGTGAGTAGCAGGTTGCCGCCACAGTTTCGATCACCGGAAGACGGGAAAATGGAATACAAAACCGAGCCTATTTCACTCCTAAATATTTCAAACGCAATCAAAAATGAATAGGCCAGAGTAAATGCATAAGTGATAACAACCCCAGATGAAAAACACGCCATTCATAAAACGTTCTCCCACATTGACTGAGTCATACGTGTAGCTCCGTATTCATATAGTTGATCGATACTTCATCAGAAAACTGCCATAGTTTTACTCTTGAAGGTAGGACAGATGAAAACAAAAATGTTCCCATTGGTTCTTAAAATCCACACGGCATCTCCAAAACAACTTGTTACTTACACGTCACCATTAAAATAAACAGAAAATTAGGAAGAATTCACCCGATAGAGCGCTGTGACCATCTCCGTTGCCGAGAAATGCACACGGCTTATCAAAATTGCCTGCAATTCTGTTCTGTCCATTCCACTGCAGATGAAATAACCGATGAACTGACTTTTTTTCTCATACTCAACCAATCAGTTCGGGTGGTTTCTCCATCCGTCCGTAAATCTGCGTCACTAAATCACGGATTCTAAGAAGTTTGGCGTTGTGAAAATTTGATTCGAGACGCTGGAACCGGCAACCTTAATTTGAACTAATTAAACCGATCTATAATAAAAGGGCTAACACTGTAGGGAGGCTGCTTTTCTTTTGAATGCTTGAGTTGAGTGATGATTTAAAACATATGCTGTGCAATTCAAGACAGTTCTATGAATTACGCTGTTTGGAAGAAACGTTAAGTGGGTATGAGTATTTCCAGGTTGCGATATGTTGCTTGTGCGCCCTTCAAACTTTCTGTGGAATGCATATGCTATTATTACGTGCTCCATTCGGCCTCTTTGTTAGTCCAGTATATCAGCTCGATGTCAGGCCAAGCGACGGCCAGTAATGAGCCTAATTCTTTCGATCTTTTGGTTTTATTGTTGAATTCTTTCGCTTTACTGATCGCAGGCTCTCAGTTTCAGCTTGATCTTAGATCTTTAAAAGCCGTCGTTTCCACCCACAAGGACGGTTTTTATCAAGGAGCAATCAACCAGAATTAAAGCGCCACTGAATCGAGACTCCACAAACTAATCAATGCTCTGTCACGTGGACTGTGTTTGTCTTGACTGCCATTGAAGGTAGCATTGCGAATATTTGTACGTTACGCCATTTGCATATCCAAAGGCAACAATAGAGCATGTCGTCCAGGGAAGTGCCACCGCCCTTATGTGGGTCGTCATTCTATATCTCCAATTTCGGTTGCCTGTTTGTCTATTCGCTTGCTTATCCGTTTTGTCTCCGTTACACTTCTCATTAGGCATCCTATAAGGTAGCATGAATTGATGAGACGTGTTTTAACCGTGAAATATGCCCATTATTAGGATTATTCATTGTAAGGGAGGTAAACAAATATGGTCTTACTCCGTCATCCGACGCTGAGCACTGCCCTAGTATGTGACGACTAGGTTGTCATACATTCTGGGTTTTTCGGATGTGTACTGGGTGCGAGCAGCTAACTTTCCTATCGGAGAGGTAGGGAGCTAATAAAATACAGCCTACATGACCGATCGGAGTCAGCTCAGTGCCGACGACCGCCAAAAATGAATTAAATAACTGTGACTAATGACTGTAAAAATTTTTAGGTACTGTGAGACCAAGGAGTTACACATCCTTCAGTGTTGGTGCGGGCCCACAGTATTCCCGTTCTATGCGCGTAAGCGAGAAGCGACAACTGGTCTTGGACTCGTGAAACACTCGAAAGCTGTTAAACCAAACCGGCGACCAGGTGGACTGCCCTGCCTTGGTTCCAGTGAAACTCAATGTATGCGAAATTCAAGTCGTTGGTGTCAGCGAAATACGCTTCAGTAATCAAATTAGTCATCAGTTATCTTGTTTTGGACGGCAACCATCCAAAAGGTCATAAAGGAGATCATAGTGACATTTTTAATCACTCAAACCGTATCAACTATCTGCTTGTTTCAACACCCTCTCCCTCGAGGAATCAATCCACAGAGTGTCTAATTGTCCCTGAGACAAACTAATCAAAGTAATGTGCTAGTGTTCGGCATATACGGTCAAGCTTCGCCCAAAAATGCAAAAAATAGTTCTACAAAATTTCGGTCAATTAGGAAAGCAACAGCCTCCTGCTGGCGGACTTCACTGTATGAGTTGTCCGGTCTATTGCTGATGATCATTCGTTCTCTGACTCCTTAAAATCCGGACCGCAACCGATGATGACGATCAGCTGTTCAAATTTTGCACCACCACAGAAATTTCGCACTAATTTTCGCTAACATCAAGTCCATGAACGAACCAGCGACCACCTTACTTACATGAGCAGCCGGTCTCCACATAAACATAATCACCCGGCAGCCACTACCATCCACTCAACTACATTGTCACCAAACTGTCGAGGTGTGCGAGAGTATATCACAAGTTTGTCCAAACGAAAGCTACTGACAAGGTTCTACTAAAATAATGCTTCAAAAAACCACTGTCCTACTGCTCGCACTTCAGACTTGCTGGGCGGATCGGTGCCTAGCATCAGTGCCCACTGAGTTCCTGGGCAAAAATACACCAGTTTACTTATAAAAGAAAAAGATCAACTATTAAAGCGATCAAATGCGTAACACGAGAACCCTGAGTGACCCGAATAGACATAATCTAAAGCGGCATTTTTGATTCACTCGAAAGAGTATCCTCTTGCTGTATGTTTCTTTGGACTTCTTTGTTCTTCCACTTCCACACGATAATTTTCTGAGCGTAAAATTTATTTCTAGGTTGGTAACAAAGTACAAACCGCAAGTGTAAACGCGCGTAGCGTACCTCAAATTGTCGTCCTGTCACCGTTTTCGTTCACAAAATACCGTCGCGATTAAAATGGCCTTGTTAGTTGTCAGTCAAATTAAGTAAAATGCACGCAATCACAAAATCCCCCAGAATGAGCCTTGCAAAAATTGGATTCACTATTTATTCAACGGTTCCTGAGATGCACAATTTTGGGCAGAATTTGGAGAGGCTAGGGCTTGCAAGTATGAGGGCGAAACGGGTTACTACCCCCTTTTTCTATAGCTAAGTTTCCAGCAGTTCAAGTTGAAACAGCTTAGGTGCACTGCACATACCACTCTCCCCAATAATCACTAGTGGTTACCCAGCAAAAAATTAATTGCACCAAAAAAACTTGTAGCTAGGATATTCTCGGATTGGTCATGACATAGTTACAAACAAAACACTTTTGAAAATGTATCCATTTCGTTAGTTGTCACATTCACCGTACTTATTACACACGTTTCTCTCTCAATAATCAAATCATTCCTAATCGTCTTTACCTTACCCCCAAAATTATCCCGTCCGTCAGCCGATTTGTGAGTTACGGCATGTGGATGCTGCAAAATAGCCCCTACTTTTCTTTTGGAAATTTTTACTAACCGACAGTTACAAAAACTCGATTGGCTATTCGTGATACAATCCCACACTGATATATCTTCATCCTCCCACACCGTAAGCTGTGGAACAGTCCTCCAACTTGGTCGTTGGCTTGTTTGCTGAGCTGGGCAATTTGGTTGCAAACGCTTCATCACCAATCGAGGTGACATCATTAGTGCGTAGTTGTGCGTAGCGGTGGGTTAGTGGTTGTGTCAACAACTAACCCACAACAACCACTAACCCACCGCTACGCACAACTACGCACTGATGATGTCACCTCGATTGGTGATGAAGCGTTTGCAACCAAATTGCCCAGCTCAGCGAACAAGCCAACGACCATCTACGCTACCTGAGCTACCGACATTCTCCTCTATAGAATTCCTCCAACTTATCCTTTCACAAGCACAGGCACGAGCCTATGCTTGCTAAAAACCAGAAGTTTCGTGATCGACTGGATTTGAGGCACCATACTTCTCTTGTAGATGTAAACCTCTAGAGTTTCTATCGATGTGAATCAGTTTGACCATAGTTTGCCACTCTTGTGAGCAAGCAGTCTAGTTGGCACTGCAGCATCTCAAGGGGATACTCAATACAACCTCAACTGAATGAATGCCAGACACGAAATTTTCTCGACAAGTGTGTTGTAATGGAACGAAAGGGAAGGCTATTACCCAGTCCACGTACAAATAATATGTATACTACAGTGTTGTTTTTATTCACTCGAATGGGTTTAGAATTTCGCATCCTAAGTTTTTCAATTTCCAAACTTTCAAGAAAAGGTGTCACTGGTCTTGAAGCATCGGGCACAGAAGTCGGTCATACACTAAAAATATGACCGTTATACCGTCAAGCTTCGGCCAGTTATACGGGTACAGCTGCTGCCGCTGTTTCCTTCATCGTGTTGCGCAGAGCACACACCAAGATCACTGACGGTCCAGAAGAAGGTCCAAATTGATACAAAAAATTCAACATCCTGCAAAATTGTTAAACAAACACAGAAAGGCTGTTCACGCTAGATACGAGTGACTGAATTCCCACAGGCAAAGAATAGAAGAGACTAAATTGATTTTTCAGGAGAATTTTCCATTTTTGCATTTCCGGAGGATCTCTTCAAAAGGGAAGACGTTTATTACTGCAAATCTACATAAATAATTTTCCGTCATATAATATTCTTGAAACTGAGCAATAAATTACTCTGAGTTTAATCTGGCATGGTTCGAAAGACAGGTTGTGTGCTGTATTGGTAGCAACAAAAAATCCCCTTATTTCTTTACCTTTTAGTACAAGCCTTTGGTCCAAACTCAAGCTCCTAAAAATTAATATCCTTTCAGGTCTTGCTGAAATTAATCACAGTTTTCTTCTGCTGTCAATCATTAAAGTTAATCATCAATACTAACCGTATAGAATTGATGACCTCCTACACAATGAATGAAATCTTATTTGGAACCTTTAGACACTTCATGTTGCGTCTCCACGGATCTTTTACCCTATCTAAGTACCAAACAATGAGGTATGGAGCTCCTGCCTCGGATGCACTGCTGATACCAGCACATTATTAGAAAAGCTTCGAGCAAGCCCCATATTGATGAAGCTCTTTAGTGGACAACGATATCAACAACTGGTCTGTAGTTCAATGTAGCCAGTTAATAGTATTATTATAATATTATTATATTATTATTATTTTACTAAAAAAATCGTACTAGAAAGCCGCCAAAGCCAATTACCGTTTGAACTAATCATGGTGAAAATTATCTGGATTTCTTGCGGTTGTCTGTTTTGCCTACCAAATAGGCAACTGAATTTTCTCTAAGCCGTCACGCCCTTTATTGATCTAGAGGGCTAAGGATCTGGTACTGATGCTGCAGCTGAACTGGTTAATATAAAAAAAAGAAATAGTATTTTGAATTCACTGGAATTTCTTCTGATGTCACCCGGAAATTCCACTGTAGATAGGTATACGTGATAATCCCTTAGCTAGTCTGAGAGACAAATCAGCATGTGATAAAGAAAGCACACATGAATCCAAAATAACTCCTCTATCCATCCTGTTATGCAGTGAGCTTGCTTACTGCTAAACTTTAGGATTCCGTGGCTGGCGTAGCGGAAATTCAGTTAAATAAAATTACTCGAAGGCTTGGCTCGCGGAACCGACATTTGAAAGCTGACTGATTACGGACCAGAGACAGTAGGGTCACATAATGGGGAAGTCACGTGCTATTCTAATGACAATTCGGTACTGGTGTTAGTTTTAGTCAGTTGCTGTCATTCGGTGTATGTTTATGTAAGAAGCATGCGAATTTGTATTTCATACCAGTCTAGCCTTTCGCAAGCAATAGAATTTTCCAAACAGTATAGTTTCACCACAGTTCAGAAATTTCTCGTGGGTGCTCTGAAGTATACAGTATGACTGGCATGTTTGTCCGATCACCCAAATAAGGGAAATTAATCGTCCCAGACAAATCCCAGACCCTTGTTTGAATATTCTAGCCATCCAGTGCGCACACTTAACTTTCTCAAAGATGTCGTTTTGGTGTGAACATCAATGAACGGAAAAACATCAACTCTGCTCTCAATCAATCCTCTGGTCGACCGGGTCAAACAATCCTAAATGCAATGCGTGACGGTTCGGATTAGAAGGTGAATCACAGCGGATATCAAGCCCGAAAAGAGAGAAGAATATGCCGAGAGTGATCCACGCTCAACAGCCCAACGATTGCTGGATTCCGTTAGAAGAGGAACGGGCTACCATGGTACGACGACGAACAATCTGCCACCGTTATGGCACTAGGACAAAAGAGTCCTCCCGTCCAAAATGAAAGGCGATCCTTCAGCAGAATTATCCCAGTGATATATTGGCAGAAAAGTTCAGCAATGAACTGCAACGTATCACACAATGACTAAACAAACAGCCCGCCCCTTTCAGTAGAAAATTTTGGACTCCAGCGTATTACCTAAAATGCGATCAGCCAGCTTCAAAGAATAGTTTGCAATCATCAATGCCTTTTGCGAAGACTCAAATGCTCCGACAGAAACCGGGAGGATTTTTGTCTTTATTTTTCGCCAATGAGAGGGTCTTCATCAAATAGTGCGGACTTCGAGGATTTCAGCTAGAGTAAAATTTTTACCATTGCCACTCTTTGTCTCCATCTTATGTACCATCAAACGCAGAACATGCTTTAAAAAATAACCAAAGACGTCTTTTGCTCATCACAGGTGACCTGTGCGATAAAGGGTGTAATGGTGTTATTGGAACTTCATTTCAACAGTACGGTTTGGATCCTTAGTCTCGATAGAGCCAAGAATTTGCTTTCTTGTTCTGCGTCCATCCTGGTATGATACTTTAGGGGAACTGAAGAAATGAGCGCCAGGTTTCAGAGCAAAGACTGACTGTTAGATCTTAAAGTCTAATTTTATGGTACGTATGACGCACAGCACCCCTGCATGTTCATACTGAAGAAGTCCAGTACGGCGATTTGGTAGAACAACAGCCTTTGTTTGGATTCGTCATACCGTCATACGACATGCGTGGTTGTTTGTGGGCACTCATGGTACAACGGGACTCTGCAACAAGAAATCCAAGGATGAACAGAGTGCGTAGTCAGACGGAAGGTGTTTTTCACTTCTGTTGACTGGCTATAGGAAGAAACATATTCTAAAGAAATCTCAACTACAGAGAGGCTTTGAGCCATCAGGTGGCCTGAAATACAACACGACATGATGGTACGCAAATGATGAAGCTTAGGCTAACAGATGTTCATAATAGTCTTGAATCGGTGAAAAAACTTGGAAGGAAGCAATTCAATGGCTTTGCTTTAATTCATCCTCCAAGCCTAGCAGAAATCTTATTAATTATATAGGGAAGAGCAATCAACGCAAAAAATTCGTAGCTAGACTACAGCTGAACGCAAAACTAGCAAAAAATAACGGTCGGGTCAGTCTTATGTGGTTGTCAGTTTTGTTTGTTCCATTAGAGAATCTCAAATTCAAAAAACATATCCGATAGTGTGCTTTGAAAATAATCAGTTTGTTCCAGTGACTTCAGCAACAAATTATACAAGCTGTTGTACCAATGAGTACAAGAAACGGAAGACAAACGGAAGCAAGACGCACTCAAAAATATGCAAATGGGCAAATTCATCATAATCTTTCAAGACGAAATAGGACAGATCATAAGGATTCTTGATGAGCTGTACTAAATTGTGAAAGTCAGTGTTAAACAATGCTATATACCGTCCTCAAAAATAGTCGGTTGAATAAACAGTACGCCCTGAAATTTTAAACGACATAAGCGATGTAATAACTTAAGAAAAAAGAAGCTGGGAGCTCATGGTACCAAAACCGTACACTTCTACGAACCACCGCACTCCCAAGAGAAAACTTTACTTGACCCACTGTTTTACTGTCGTTAAACTCAATGTATTAATGAGCAGAAGCTTTTGAAGGAGGCTTGAATTAGCTACTTACGAGGGAGGACACAGCACGCTGAAAAACTCCCGACAAAAACTACACAACGTCAGTATAGAGGACTTTGAATTCAGGCTCTAGTTGAAGCACCAACTTCATTCAGATCATTTCAACGTTACCAAACGATCATGGCGGAATTGATACAACAGCAGTGAGACACAACGCTGCTGTTTGAAATCACATGCAGGCAATTGGTACACGGGTGTGCGGATATATACTGTAGATTCGAAGGATAAGCCTACAAACCTCTGATAGTAATTGTAATAACACCAAATTCTCTATTCGTTCTTAAACACTTTTCAGTTATACTTCGGAGCATTTTACCTTCGCGAGAACATTCTTTCAGGACAGCACTATATATAACTTCCTCTCCGGGGGCAGCGGGGACCATCGGAACTGGCATCTCTTAAGGCCGCCACCATTTGAGGGATATAAGTGCAATAATGCAACTGGGAAGGTACTAATCAAGAAAAGCTTTGCTAAAATTACTGTTTGATAGCTAGTATTCACTTTTAAGTTAGCTGGTGGATACAGGAATCTCCCCGTCGCGTTACAACCACAGAGTTGACTTCGTCTCAACAAACATATCCCCTATATGATCTTCGTACTGCGGCACACAGTTGAGCCTCATTTTCTTGTCGAAAAGGGGGATATTTAGGTTGTATGAAGCTGTAATAAAAGCTTTCTTCCAAAGAAGTGAAAGAAG